GAAATAGTAATTTTGGTGCTGCCGAGGAGTAAGGGTAGCCCTTCTGGAACGGGGAGAATCAACGTTCGGAAAACGTTCATTCGATGTCAAACACACTCTTTGATATTTTGCAGACAATGCTATACAATGGGTCTTCACATACGTCACAAGGAATTTGATACTCACAAAGAGATGGTGGAAAGATGAAAATTTACATAATGTCTGCTCGTGCAAGCAAACCTGTGCATGTGCAACAAAAGTGGCTTGTCAGTGACAATGACTTGGAAATCACCCAGTATTTGACGAGTATTTCTACAATACCATAGAAGCTTAACACCGACCCAATTGCATGTGCCTAGGCTGCGACCTCTGGCGCTGCTGAGTCTCTACCGGTAGTTTCTCTGACTACAAGGACGTCTTACATCCCTCCCCCTGTTTATTAAACAAAGAAAACGGTGTACAAAGATAGCTGGGATTCCCAACTAACACTACGTGATGTTTGCTGGTCTGAGTACTCTTAGCCAAAATCATGTTCAATGATCAATTAGTTTGCCCGAACAAATTGAGTACATAGGTCACTTTCCTAACCGTACTCGGATGCAATTTCCCATCAAGGGAGCATGGGCCTCAACCTCATTTCCAGTCATACAAGTCTCGTCACTGGAGAAGCCGAAAAGTTGTTGATAGGAGATTTGTAACAGATTATTCCTTCAAGTTTTCCCTTTCGCGACGATCTCATTTTAAGATTTCCTGTTTGCAACAGATTATTCTTTCAAGCTTCCTTGCAAAGTGAGTTTTCACATATGTCTTCTTCTTCTTCTCCCTAGCGTTAGTCCCGCGCCGTCGCAGGGTCCGCTGTTCTTGTTAGACGTCGCCACTTGTTCCGATCCACTGCATCTTCTGCCGTGGCTTTCACTTCAGTGAGGTCCTTCTTGATGACGTCCCTCCATCTTTTCTTTGGGGCTCCTCGTGGTCGCTTGCCCTCTGCTTCGAATTCCAATGCCTTCCTTATTGGGTGGTCTTCAGGCCCCTCACGTGCCCATACCATCGCAGTCGCTGCTCTCGTGCCTTCAGCTGGATCGGAGCCGTCTGTGTGACCGCCCTGACGTCCTCGTTTCTGACTCTGTCGAGTCGTGTCCAACCGCAGGCCCATCTCAGCATCCTCATTTCAGCTGAATGGAGCTGCCTTTTATGGTTCTTGCAGATGGGAACAGGAAAAACTTCCGTTTCGCCAAGAAGCTGCTTGCTAAGTCATGGGGTGTGGCCAGGTCAAAGATCCGTTCTCCCTCAGCATTCCTTGCTCCTATTCCTTGACCTCCGTGCACCCTTTCTAGACCCTTCTGTCACTTCCTACATGGCCATTCAGTTCCTCAGCTATGGTGGAGCTCATCGTCCGGAACCGATATTTTGGCCTCGCTCAGGGTCAGGTAGAATTCATGCCTTTCCGCCTTGGACCAACCGGGTTGTTGCTACACTATTAATACTGTCCAGTTCCCCTAATTCGTGTCCATTCTCACTCCCATAACCCATCACTGATTCTGTTCACAGAAGGAGACGCAGTCCTTGAGGATTCTGCCACCGCTATGGCCACGCCATTCCGTTTGGTGTCTGCTCCATTGTAGAAGAGTTTGACACCTTCTCCAATCTCGCGGGTCTCGTGTCATTCCATCGCCTTCCCTGAAGGTGGGACAAGGATAGTCCTTCGTCTCATTAGGTCGGCAACCTCACAAGACTTCCCGGTAAGCGACCCCACGTCCAGAGGAACTAGCTTCTTTGGCCGAGGTCGTTCACCCCTCGGTAGCCCTCGCATACTGACCACAGAACTCGGGCGAGGGTTCTGCGCGCCACTTCCGGGTGACGTCCTAGCTTTAACACTGATTCTATTGCGACTTGTCATGATTGTTGTGGTTCCTCCATCAGCCGGCCTGTCAACCTGGGCCTGACGCTGGTATCGTCCCCATTTTTGCAATTTTTTGCAATGGCATGGCTTATGGCCTCGGCAGGGATCGAACTCGTGGCGGTGCGAATATGAGTCCCCACTTTTAACTACTCGGATATCCCTGCTTCTGTATTTTCGCCTGTGTAATAGAGGGAAATCCAGGCACAAAAGTGTTTCGATGCAATCTTCAGAGCACCATGTCATTGAACACTCGTCTGTACATTAATAGTGTGAGACTGAAAAAAAGTATAAGCGCTGCCAAACACGCGACCGAAGCGCTGCAGTCGCGAAGTCTGAACGCTGCCTTATGGCTGGGGAAGCTACGCGGCTAGTCAGGACTGGAAAAACAGCGATGCATCAAAACTCTCGTAAATGGATGATGAAATGGAATGCCTGAAGGGAAAAGGGTAACAATAAAAACTGTTTTTTTTTGCTAGACAGGGAAATGCTCGCCCAGCGATTGCGAAAATAGGAGCCCAAAAAAGCTTTACTTTCAAAGAAACTCAACAGGAATACCGCCACAGTGTATGGATTTTCTGGCAACTTTTGGTGCGAACCGTAGAACACCAGTACACTTAGAACATGGAAGGTGTTTAATTGGGGCCACGCTCGCCGTTAGACCTACAGGGACTTTGAGCTTTTCGCCTGAGGTCTAACCTTTTGAAGTTGACTTATTGTGTGTAGAAAGGAGGTGCTAAATGAAGGGCCACTCCTCGTCAGTTACAGCATTTCTGTACTCACGACCCTCATAGAGGAGTTTGTAGTTCTCCCAGTGTTCGTCTACTTTCTGAAAGGTTTGAACAATGCACTAGATGCCTCTTCCGGAAACCTTGCTATTCGCTTTTTTCAAGCCTCAATGCTTCCTTCCTGACAGCCTCGTATATTTCCCGATCCTGCACCATGCGTCAGCAAAATCTTATACCGATTTAATGCTTCCTTTCCTTGTAGATTGCCCCACACAAAGTATTTTGAATTTTGTGTCTGCAGTACTCCGACAGTAGCCCTTTTTTCCGATCTCTGAGCCCATGTAGACGGTTTAAGTGATCCTTCGAGGTGTTTTACGAGCATATTACGCCAATCATTATTTGACGAGACCGTCGAGGGATATTTCATTTCTATTGCTCCTGCTAAACTCCTCCTCAAAGACGCTCAGCATTTCGTTCATTACTTGTAAATAGGGTTAGTTTCTGTATTTTTATCCTATACGAGTTTTGGAACACAGAACCTGTCCCAATGGTCGTCGATGCTGTGGAGGAAAGCTGATAAGATGAACTCGACCGTTCGCTGGAGACTGACTTCAGATGCATTCCTGTCCCATCATTTGCTCCGGAACATGCTGACTGGCGGCTCTTCAGATTAGACTTATTTCCATTATTTTATAACGAAAGCCGTCCTCTCACAGCAGACCAATCCACACAATTGCTTCCTTTATCTTGAGCACCCATGATTAACCGCTCTCGTTCCAGGATGGTTACCAATCTTGCTGCCAGGTCATCCACCTGACGTGGATATTTCTGTTTCCGTTCCGCAAGCACTGCAAGCTCTATTCTCGGTCCATTATTTGTGACATAACTTTTTCTAACTCGGGAAATTAAGCTTTTACAGCACATGCAGCTACAGTGCACCAAAAGCTCCATCTCATCGCAGCCAATTTCCTCCGCCAGATCCTGCATCAAAGTTCTTTGTGGTGACTTGGTGTAACTGCATAAAATCACTTATTTCACGAGGTTTCCTCACTTTCACATACCTCTCCTGAATTCCTACCCCCCCCCCTTCCTTCTTCTCTCTCACTACGCTGTCATTCATCAGTTTTTGCTCATCGCTTTACCTTCTATTCATACTACATTCATTCTCACACTTCTCACTCCTCTCTTCCTTACAGAGGAGCACAGAGGGAGGATATACCGTCGTTTAGTTTCCGTCTCAGGACTCGTGCAAAGAGAAAACCAAATTATCTCCTTTCTCCTTCAACCTTCCCCCCCCCCCCCATACATATATTTCAACGCATTGTATTAAGTTTGCATTTTAATCTATAATGATTTGCGAGTGCCGGAACTCTGCACAAATCTTCTGGAGGTTTCGGAGCTTCCTTGAAAAATGGAGTGTATTACCCGGCTAATGACTAGACACTAGACGTGCTTACCTATAACGAGCTCCACTGTCTCTCTAACGGATTCCACAACATTTTGCCTCTTTTGCGCGAACCCGATCCTCCAGACTATCCCGCAAACGGGATACCTGGTTATTCAAATTGCTCGAGAATTGATCTCTTTAACCTCTCTCTTCTCGCTTCTGATCACCTTCCAAGGCTACTTCCCGTTGACATGTGTTGAGTTTGTCTTCTGTAATTTCCACAGAATAAGCGTCAAGTTGCTCTTAACCTAAATTTCTGGATTTGCAGTGCAGTCAATCATTCGGACCTCGCTGAGGCTTGGTCCGCAGGAAATTAAGCCCTTGCCGGGACCCTTTGCTCGGCTAGTGATTTGTCGGATTCAATCGAGGTGGTGACGTCCGTTCCTCCAAGTGGTGCCACCGGGACCTGCTCGCTTTTGCGGGCTGAGCAGAACACGGACAAACCGACAGCAGGCGACAGGCCTTCGTGACGGGCCGGCTTACGAACACCCCATGTCACATCATTATGTTCAACTATGCCTTATGAATTTCGAGATAGTGCTAAAGACGTGCAATGTGTTGAAAGGCTCGTATTGCGACGCTGAATGTAGGGACGCTGACTGGACGCTCGTATGAGTTAGCAGAAGCCCTAGAGCGTAGAAAGATCGACCTCTGTGCCGTGCAAGAGACGAGATGGGCTGGCTGCAAGTCGAAAGAGTTAGGCCGCGGCTTCAAAGCCGTTCTTTGTGGCGGGCCGAAAACTACAAGTGGTGTGGCCGTGATCGTGTCTCAGCGATTTCGCGATACGATTGTGAGCGTAGATCGTTTCGACGACCGTTTAATGAAGATTGTTGTCGCTATTGAACAACGACTGTACCACTTCTTCTGCATATGCCCCACAAACTGGATGCTCTGAGCAGTCCAAGGACGAGTTCTGGGCTCTGCTGGACGAGAAGACGGCTGAAGTGCCACCAAAAGACGGTATCATTGTAGCCGGCGATTAAACGGACACGTGGGCGCTGCAAAAGACGGCTATGCTTGTCATGGCGGATTCGGCTACGGTTCACGGAACGCCGATGGTGAGCGAGTCCTTGAGTATGCAGAGTCGCATAATCTCGTCATTCTGAACACAAGGTTTCGTAAACGTGACTCCCATCTCATCACGTTCTACAGCGGGAGTACCAAGACACAAATAGACTTTGTACTCATCAGGCATGGCGACCAAGGACTCGTGACAGACGCTAAGGTAGTACCGTATGAAACGGTTGCCACGCAGCACCGCCCACTGATCTGCACGCTCAGACTTGTAGCTCCCAGACCGAGGCAGGCAGAACGATGCGGTCCTGAAAGAATAAAGTGGTGGCGACTGAAAGAGCGGGAGGCAGCTGTGATTTCTCGTATTCGACTACCTGAAGTCACAACTGTTCAGGAGACCTGGAACGAAGCCGCCACGAGTGCGGCAATCAGCTGTTCCCAGCCT